AGGATTTGTCAAGAGGCACGGTATGACATGACAAGCGACGTTAGGAGGAGGGCTGGTCAAGAAGCGCTGCTGCATTTGTCACGAGGTGTGGCAGAACTCGTCGGACAGCGGAGCAGGATCGTCAAGAGGTGTAGCTGGCTTTGTTAAGAGGCATAGCAGAAGGGACCCGTAAAAAGGGCTTAAGCAGGATTCCAGAGGCGTAGCAGGTTTTGTCAAGAGGCATAGCGAGAGGATTTGTCAAGAGGGCTTTGCAGCACTAAAGAGGTGTAGCAGGTTTTGTTAGTAGAAGGGACCCGTCAAATGAGTTTAATAATACTAGAGAGCTGTTGCTGGCTTTGTCAAGACATAACAGAAGGGACCCATCAAGAGGACGTAGCAGTAGTAAAAAGGTGTAGCAGGTTTTGTCAAGAGGTACAGTAGAAGGCTCAGCAGTACCAAAGAGGTATAGCAGGTTTTGTCCAGAAGCATAGCAGGGGGAACTCGTCAGGAGACAAAGCGAGTGGAGAGAGAGAGAGAGAGAGAGAGAGAGAGAGAGAGAGAGAGAGAGAGAGAGAGAGAGAGAGAGAGAGAGAGAGAGAGAGAGAGGAGAGGGGAGGGGAGGAGGAGGAGGAGGCAAGCAAGAACACGATAGCGCCACCGAGATACAAGGTCTTGATTGGTATGGACGGACCGAGAACCGAGACGTGATGGAGGAGAGTGAATGTGTCTCACCTTGACAACACACGCACCGGCGGGAGACCTTCGTTTGGAGGCGTCAGGTTGTTAGAGAGCTGAAGGACGACGCCGCCACTGGGAGTGAGGTTGGCGGCGCAAATTTGGAGGTCGAGTGGGGGCTTGAATAAAGAAGTGCGTAATCTCCAGCATGGCGTGAATATACGCAAGAAATGCAGGACGTGTGTATATTATTTTTTGAAGGGGAGCGGGAGAGGTAATTCCACGGACATTCAGCATAGAAAGAGGAGAGAGTAACCGGAGAAATTTAGCAAGAAAGGAGGGATTGACATGGAAAAAAGGATGTTGAGGAGGTATATAATAGGACGTAGATGTACGCCTTATCACAATGAAGTGAATATGCCCAATGAATATAAAGAAAATATTGTAATCAGATATCAGTCACATCCAATTAAGTTTTCGGTACCATTTAGGGAATGCCAATCAAGCGTAATTAACATAGGATCTGAAGCATGTCTAAACTAATTTAACTAATTATCCTAGATCAAAGTCATAACCCACACGAAGTCGGATTAAGTAACATATTCACTGAGGACATCCGGGTTTAAACAACAGGCATCTACTTTCTAAATTCGGAACACATTCATAATATTTGTATATACATGAAAGTGAAAATTGAAAATGCTATCTTTAGAAGGGATGGTGACAGGTGTTAGACTATTGCCACCTTTTAAAAACGGGCTTTTACATAGCAAGCAGACTGTAAGGTGACTGATGTGTGGCGACACATTTTCCTTCTCTTGTTCTCCGATTTTCTCGATGCGGGAAACGACACTCATTAAGATTATAGTAAGTCCTCGACTTTTACAAGATCTCTGACAATTGATATAAATTGGCTTCGTATTCTAGTTGGATATCTTAACAGCTTACATAATACATGAGCTTTGTATAGCCTGATCAACATAACCTGCTTCACGTAACGCACAACGCTACAAATGCTATACAGAATCTAGTGTGAATTAATGATACTAATTTTTACCTGTATGAAGTACCTCGGGTTGCATACAAAAGGCTTTGGGTCTGCTGGTTAAGCCTGTCACCTAAAAATGTGAGGGTCTTTAGTACAGCTAATGGAAATCTGGTGGTATTTTCATTTCAAGTGGCTTTTCGTGCAGGAGACAGCTTACACAATATTCATTATTCATGTGCGATTTAAATATAGATTTAAAGATACCTTTTATGTTCGTTCCTTTTATATTTTGAGAGAGAGAGAGAGAGAGAGAGAGAGAGAGAGAGAGAGATATACTGTATAGTATATATACATCTGTATTTGTATATCACATAGATAAATACATTTGTAGTAACAACGTGTTATATTTACTGGGTTTTGTGTAAAAAAATAAAAGACAACAAAATAGATTAATGAATATCACAAGATTCATGTAATCCAAGGACCCCTTTTTCAAACAAAACATAATGACTTAACAACGGAAAAAAAGAGGTAGTATTTAAAACCATCGTATTTTCGCGGTAGTGGTAGATAGACGCTGCAAAAATTAGTTTTATATCTTCAGTCAGACTGGTTAGTATTGACTTTTTTTTTTTTCTTTAACAATACGAGTTCCCAGCAGCAGTAACATAGAGATTACGATCTGTCCGTAGTGTGATACAAGCCCCTGAAAAGCGAATTAAGGCAGTGTTGTGCTTAAGAACCTGTGAACAGCGACTTTTAGTGGCGAATAAAGAACTGAAGAAGTTTGGCCAAGAAGTTTTCGAGAGTCAGAAGGAGATTGCACTTGGGTTTCTGGTCTTTTTGGTTTTGCTGTTACACCGTCTGGTCTTGTTGTAGGTTCGAGAGTACGTAGCGAGATAAGGGAAGAGAAATTAGAATTCAAAAAAATAGATTAATAGATAAAAAAAATAATAAAATAAGATAAATAAATAAATAAAAATAGATAAATAAGAGAGAGGATCCAGTAGTAGAAATAGGTTAGGGGAAGAGAGATGAGAGATAAAGGAAGAGAAATTAGAATTTTTTTAAAAAATGGAGAGATTTAGAAGTAAAACTTCATAAATCATTTTGATTTTTTTTTTCTTTTTTTTTTTGGGGGGGAAATAAAAATGTATATACAAAATTAGGAAAAGTATAACAAAAAGTACTCCACAAATTATAGAAAAAAAATAACCAGACAGAATTCAAAATAACTACCCAAACAAACCCCCTCCCCTCTCTTCCTTCCCCCCCTCCTCCCCCCCCCCCAAAAAAAAGGGAAGAACAAACAAAAATACGAATAAAAGCTAACCTAAGATAACACGATCTCGAAAGGTGGAAGAGAGAGAGACAAGGAGAGACAAGGAAAAGGTGAACAGGAGGCACAAGATATGCTTCTTCCTGGCAGTGATAAAGAAAGGCAGATAATGTTAAAAACAAGCAGTGGTCGCACTACAGAGGCTTATCAACGACGTGGTTAATTGTTAGTACCAAATTGGGTCGTTATCGTCTGAGGTTACGGTTTTCCAATGCCTCTTTTTTTTTTTTTTTTTTTTTTTTTTTTTAATTCGGTGACTATTTTTTCTCTCTGTCTGGGTCTGGCTCTTTCTTTCTTTCTTTCTTCTTTTCTTTCTTTCTTTCTTTCTTCTTTCTTTCTCTCTCTTCTCTCTCTCTCTCTCTCTCTATCTATCTATCTATCTATCTATCTATCTATCTATCTATCTTTCTCTTCTCTCTCTCTTCTCTCTCTCTCTCTCTCTCTCCTCTCTCTCTCTCTCTCTCTCTCTCTCTCTCTCTCTCTCTCTCTCTCTCTCTCTGTGTGTGTGTGTGTGTGTGTGTGGTGTATGTGTGTGTGTGTGTGTGTGTGTGTGTGTGTGTGTGTGGTGTGTGTGTGCGCGCGTGTGTGTGTGTGTGTAAAGCGAAAATCTTAAGGAAATTTCCTCCAGTTCTGTGTTTCGTAAGATTTTTTTTTTTTTTTTGTTCCAAGAATATTTTGTCTACCTTTTTTGTGTCTGTTTCTAAAGGGGGGAGGGAGGGGGGGGGCTTGGGGGTCACACGTAGGGTCAGGAAATCCTTGGAAGCGGCGCCGGTGTCGAAGGGACCCCCCCTCCCCTCCCCCCCCCTCCCCTATCTTAAGGAGACCCCCTCCAGTTTATAAGGTGCTCTCCCCTCTCCCCCTCCCCCCCTCTCTCAAAGGACTCCTCCCTCTCCTTCCCTCTCACAGGACCTTTCCCCTCTCCTCTCTTTTCTTTTCTTTACTTTTCCTTTCTTTTCTCCTCTCCCTTCTCTCTTTCTCTCTCTCCTCCTCTCTTCTTCTCTCTCTTTCTTTCTCTCTCCTCTCTTCCTCTCCTTTCTCTCCACATCTCTGCTCATCTCCTCTCCTCTCCACTCCTCTCCTCTCCTTCTCTCTTCTCCTCTCCTCCTCCACGCCTACCCTTAAGTGACCCTCTTCCCTCTCTCTCCTCACGTGACCCCTTTTCCCTCCTCCTCCTCCCCCTATCCTCCCTGTCCCCCTCCCAACCCCTATCCCCTCCTTTCTCCTCCTCCCCCCACCCATCCCTCCTCCTCCTCCTCCCCCCCTCCAACCCCATCCCTCTTCCCCCCTCTTCCTCCCCCCACCCCCCAACCCTCCCCCACCCACCCCTTCCCATCCCTCATCCCTCCTCACCAACCCACCCCCCACCTCCTTCTCCACCCCCCTCCTCCACCCCCCTCCCTTCCTCCAATGACCTCTCCCCCAACCCACCTCTGGGTCGTGTTGGGGAAGGCTGATGGTCACGATCCTACAGGGTCAGCCCCTCTAAGACACCCAGGAAGACAGGACAGACCGAGGGTAAGGATTTCGATTCTTAGGATGCGTTATGCAAGGAGGGGGAAAGTGGTGTAGAGGATGGGCTAAGGATGGGTGTCTTGGCGTAGGATTGGGATAGCGAAGAACTTTTTTTTTTAGAGAGAGAGGGAGAGAGAGAGAGAGAGAGAGAGAGAGAGAGAGAGAGAGAGAGAGAGAGAGAGAGAGAAGAGAGAGAGAGAGAGAGAGAGAGAGAGAGAGAAGGAGTGAAAGAAAGAAAAAAGAGAGGGAGAGAGAGAGAGTGAAAGAAAGAAAGAGAGATCTTAAGATCCCGAAAAAAACGAAAAAAGGAATGAAGGACTCTGAAGAGGATATATTTTTACAATACATGTAGGATCTGATACCTAATCCCCCTCCTCCCCTCCCCCCCCTCCCCCACTTCCCTCTACCCTATGTTTCCTAATCTTCAACCTCTCGTAACCCTTTAGCCTCCGTCTCTCTCTTCTGCCGCCTACAACCCTTTCCCTCACGCCCACAACCCTTTCCCGCATGCCCACAGGTCTTACCTACCGCCCACAAGCCTTCCCCGACGCCCGCAACCCTCTTACAATACCTACAACCCTTCCCTTACGCCTACAACTTTTTCTCGACGCTCACAACCTTTTTCCTTACGCCTCAACCCTTTCCCTGTGCCCACAAGCTTCACCTACCGCCACAACCTCTCCAAGACCCCACAATCTTTTCCTCATGCCACAACCTCACCCACAGAACCTCACCTACCGCCCACAATCCTCCCCCGACGCCCACAACCCTCACCTACCGCCCACAACCCTCCCCGAAACCCAACCCTCACCTACCGCCCACAACCCTCTTCCCTCAGCCCACAACCCTCCCCCGAAACCCACAACCCCCTCACCTACCGCCCACAACCCTTTCCCTCACGCCCACAACCCTCACCTACCGCCCACAACCCTTTCCCTCACGCCCAACAACCTTTCTCTCACGCCCACAACCTTTCCCTCACGCCCACAAACCTTTCCCACACGCCCACAACCCTCACCTACCGCCCACAACCCTTTCCCACACGCCCACAACCCTCATTACAGCCCACACCTCTCTCCCGAAACCAACAACCCTCCACGAAGCCCACAAGCTTCCCCCGACGCCCACAACCCGTTCCCACATGCCCACAACCCTTTCCCTCACGCCCACAAACCTCTCCCCGAAACCCACAACCCTTTCCCTCACGCCCACACCCTTTCCCTCACGCCCACAAACCCTCACCTACAGCCCACAACCCTTTCCCTCACGCCCACACCCTCAACCTACCGCCCACAACCTCTCCCCGAACCCTCGCCTTCCTTGCAAGTGGGAACTCCTTTTTGTAGGATCCCACACACGCGCCTTGCCCAGAGTCCCTTGGCGCAGGACGTCAGCCACGGTCCTTCCCGCCGCCAGGTAGGACTTCTATCCTGCCCTTCCCCACCCCCTACCCCCACCCCATCCCCGGTACCCTATGCTCCCTTATCCCTACTCACCAGCCTCTCCCTCTATCCTGTGTACCTTGTCCCTACCACCTCCTCCACCCTCTATCCTATGTACCTTGTCCCTACCCATCACCCTACCCCCCCCCCGCTAACCGTGCCCCTTATCCCTACCCATCACCCTCCCCCTCTACCCTATGCCCCTCTTACTTACCCACCACCCTTCCCCTCTATCCTATGCCCTTATCCCTACCCACCACCCTCCCCTCACTCCCACCTTCTTACCTACCCTTTCCCTACCTTCCTTTACCTCCCTCCCGTACCCAATAACATCTAATCGCCCCCCTCCCTCTCATCCCCACCCCACACAAAGCTTATACCCTCCGTACCTCCCCACTCCAGTCACACCCTCCCTACCTCCCCCCTTTCAGCCCACTCCCTCCCTCCTCTACCCCCTCAACCTACGCCCCCCTCCCTCCCCTCCTCCCCCTAACCCCCTCCCTTCCCTCACCCCACCACACAAAGCTCATACCCTCCCTCCACCCTTCAGCCCTCCCTCCTCCAACCCCCCCTCCACCCCAGCCTACGCCCTCCACCCCCTCCTCCCCCTTCAGCCCACGCCTTCCCTCCCCCTCCACCCCAGCCCACGCCTTCCTCCATCCTCCACCCACCTCCCCCCCACCACGCCCCCCCCCCAAAGAAAACCCTCGGGGGCGGTAATTGGAACAGCCAGAGCAAATATTGTCACTGTTACCACATCGGCGGCCAAACTCTTCTTCGGTGTCGGGGCGGTGAGTGTGTTGATGGGAAGGAGAGGGAGAGAGAAGGAGAGGGAAGGATGGAGGAAGAGAGAAGGAGAGAGAGGAGAGGGTGAAAGAGAAGGATGGAGAGGGTGAGGGAGGAGGAGGAGGGAGAAGGAGAGGGAGAGGGAGAGAGAAGGAGAGGGATGGAGAGGGAGGAAGAGAGAAGGAGAAAGAGGAGAGGGTGAAAGAGAGGGATGGAGGGAGTAAGAAGGCTGGAGAGGGTGAAGGGAGGAGGGTAGGAGAAGGAGAGGATGGGGAGGGAGGGAGAGGGAAGGAGAGGGATGAGGAGGAAGAGAGAAAGAGAGGAGAGGATAAAGGAGAGAGATGGAGGCGAGAAGAAGGAGAGGGGAATGAGATGGAGGGAATGAGAGAGGGAGAGAGATAGAAAGGGAGAGAGAGAGAGAGAGAGAGACAGACAGACAGACAGACAGACATATACGCAGGAAGTCAGGTAAACAAGCAGTCAGACAGGTAAACACACAAACAGAGAAATGAACTGAAATGATGTTTACGAGAGAGAGAGAAAGGAATAGAACGAAATACAATAAAAAAGATACACAAAGAAAGAAAAGTGGATCAGGTAAAAAAGAGAGAGAGAGAGGTCAGACATACAGGACAACCGGAGAGAGGAGAAAAAAATAAAAAAAAACGAATGATAAAAAGAGAAACATAAACAGAAAACGGAAGAGATTAAGAAATAAACAAAAGCACGAAAAGAAGAGAGAGAGAAAACAAAAAAAAGGGAAAGACAAGAAATAAACAAAACAAAGCCACGAAAGAGAGAACAAAGAAATAAACAAAACAAAAACACGAAAAGAGAGAAATAAAACACACACAAAAACGAAAGACAAAAAAAAAATAAACAAAACAAAGACATGCCCAAATACCAAATACATGTGAAGGGAAAATAGGAGGACGAGACGAGGGTACGAGAAGAGGGTGAAGTGTGTGCCAAGGGAGTGAGGGTGAAATAAGGGTATCTCGCGAAGCTATTGCTTCTTGAGGGAGAATGGGAAAGAGGGAGAAAGGAGGGAAAGGGAAAGGAGGAGAAAGGGGGGAAATGGAAAGGATGAGGAAGGAAGGAAAGGGGGAGATGGAAAGGAGGGGAAAAGGGGGAGATGGGAAGGGGGGGAAGGGGAGATGGAAAGGAGGGGAAAAGGGGAGATGGAAAGGAGGAGAAAAGGGGAGATGGAGAGGAGGGGAAAAGGGGAGATGGGAAGGAGGAGAAAAGAGGGAGATGGAAAAAGAAAATCAAACGTAAAAAAAATGATACTAAATAAGTAAATACGAATGTTATAGAAATAAATAGATAGATTAAATAAAAAGAGAGAGAAAGAAAATGGGAAACGAAACAAAAAAGAAAAAGAGAAAAGAGAATAAAATAATACATGGGGGGGGGAGAGGCATTACGAAATAAGAGGAAGCGGAAGAGAAGGGGAAGGAGGAAGAGATGAAGAAGAGAGATAGAAAAGAGAGGAAAGAGCAGGAAGGAAGGGATAGAGGAGGAATAGGAGAGAGATGGGAAAGGATGGCGAAAGAAGAGCGATTAGAAGAAGAGGGAAGACGAGCAGGAAGGAAGATAGAGGGGGAATGAGGAGGAGGAAGGGGAGGAGGAAATGGTTGAAAGAGAGAGAAAAAAAGCGGGAAGAGAGCAGGGAGAAGGATAGAGGCGGAACGGGAAAAGGAGAGGAGGGGAGGGAGGAAATGTGAGAAGAGAGAAGAGACAGGAAGAAGGATAGAGGGAGGAAATGGTGAAGAAGAG